CGCAGCATTACCTGAATAAAATGAAACATTTTGGTAAGTTTAAAATTTCTAGCAAATGTCATTTTATCAGATCTCATCAGATCCTGTCTGTACATAAACTGACGCTACAACCCCAGGGTTGAGAAAACTCTATATTAGACATTTGCAATGACCTACTTTCCTCACTAGCAGCATTAAAGGAATACTGTTCTTTCTTAAAGTTTTAGTAGAAAACAACCAATCACAAGTGAGAAAGATGAAAAGTTGCTTTGGGTTGATGGCTTGAAAATCACGATTGTTCCTAACATAGATATGGCAACCAGGGAATGAGACTCAACAATCAACTATCTTGGCTCTGATTGGTTGTTTTCGTTCAGGCCCGTCGGATTATTGGAAATGCCATTACCAGCACTAAGAGGAGCCAGAGAAACATGATTTTTTCACAGATTATCTGTCTCATGTATTACTGTCAGGATATATTGAAAGTTTCATCAAATATGAAAAAAAAAAAAGTTCTTACAAATTACCTACTGCAGCTTTAAACTCTGACTAGAGAGACATGACACACTTCACATTCAAACTGAAGAGGCCTTCAAGTATACACTTCTGGCAAGCTCAGTCCGAACAGTTTTTAGAAGCGTCTGAGGCTGAAAGTGGAAATACACCTCAAAAAGTACTTACTGCAGCTTTAATGGATCCCACAGAACCATTTGAACTGCTGTTCCTTCACTGCATCCACAGATTATCTTTTTAAGCAAATGTTTTATTTTTTTATAAAAAATTACCTATTGCAGTTTTAACTGTCTGAACTAAGTTCTTACCATATCTGGGTATGATTCCCCAGGCAGTGAATGAAGCATAGATCCCACCAATCATCCAGAACATACACAACCAGGACAGATGCTCTCCTCTCTTGTCCATCTGAAGGAACTCTGAGAAGTACGAGTAGACGATCGGCACTGTGCCACCAATACTGAGGGTAGAGAATGGTAATGAGAAAATAAGGAAAGCGAGCAGAGATAAGCACAAACCAGTTTTTATTAATGGAGGAATAATTACAAAGAGAGATAGACTTTAATACAGATGCATTTAAGCTGCCCCTTTTGAGATTCACTGACCACTTAACCATAAACAACTGCTATGGCAGAAGAACTATTTCTAAATTAAAGTCATGTTTTGGTAAATTAAAACATCAGAAAGCAAAGTTAAGATATTTCCGTAGAGTGAACAAAGCCTTTGCTTCTCTTGTAAAACTGTTCACTGCAAAGAACAATAAAAAGCATTAATGTTGTTGCAGGTGTGTTATATGCAGCAGAGAGGGTACATATGACAAATCACTTTATCTACCTATGAGCCAAGCAGTGTTGTGGTGCAAACTGTCAGTGGTTGTGTATCACTTTCACTGTGCTGTGCTCAGTATGTGACCTCCTTTCTGAGTCAGTGTGGCTCCCTGTGGACTACAGTTATTCTGAGACGGAACACTCTGCTGTGTCACTGCAAAGAAACACGAACCAGACTCTGCATATGGATTGTGTGGAGCCTGATTTGCTGTATGATTAACATATTAGCAGGCTGCATTAATGGCTGAAAATATTCTATGATACCTATGAAGCCTTTAAAAGACCAGTTGAATAGAAATAATGCTGCAATATGTTATGTCATACATTGAATCACAATCCAAAGATTTTTTAAGGTGAAAGCATACTTCACATACTCTGCAGGTTTACCCAAAAATAGTTTTTAAGGGATAACTTAAATGGTATATAGTAAATGTCAAGTAAATTGAGATCCCTGATCCGCTAAAACCACTTTGGAAAGCAAAGGACTTTCCATCGAGTAATGCAATGCACAGAGATTATAATAACCAAAAGCTGTATAATGATTGAAGTTGATTCTATATTACAAAATGAAATATGTAACAATGAAAGGAAACATGATTATATGATTGGAACTGATTATTTGATAATGAATAAGTATAAATGCTCAGTAGTAAGATAGAACTATGGAAAGTAAGCTCAAGAGAGCAAATCATGTTGAGGTGTTGAGTAACTAGGTGAAAAGGCACATATTGCAACCAGACATGTCTGGTGCAGACTGCGGAGAGAAAAGGGGAAGTTGAGCGCACACTCAGGACACGCATCTTTTGAGGAGCAAAAGAGGAAGTAGCATGGCCCGAACCAAACAACACCCTAGGGGAATAAATGGCACTACACAAGGAGGATCGGGGTTAGTCCTCGGCCAGCTCTCGGGTTCAAAACTTGCTGATCGATCGACCACAACGGAGCAACGCATCTTTGAACTTAAAATTTCAACTCAAGAGAGGGATCAAACGAACAGCCTAACATCGCAGAAAGAGGAGTCCAACAACCTACAGCCAAGACGGGAGTGTCAGGCAGAGGACAATTAACCATTTCCACCCGGCTTAGGATTCCAATTGATTTCCAAGGATCACTCTTTTGTTCACCCTGCCAACAGAGACTGAACTGGTCAGAGACTTTGCGGACTTTGGGTAAAGCCGGGAGTTTCAACAGCAACCAACAGTGCGGCAGGCTAGGAATGACTGTATCGGCCGTAGACCCCACTGTACACACTGTAGAAAAAAAATAGCTAACCAGCTAACTAGCCAGCTAACGATAGCTGGTTAGTTAATCTATATGAATTGTTAAAAGATAAAAGTATATATATATGTATATATATATATAGTCACATCTTAAAGGTCCAGTGTGTAACATGTAGGAAGATCTATTGGCAGAAAAGAATATAATATTCATCGGTATGTTTTTTTCAGTGTATAATCACCTGAAT